AGCTGTGACCCAGGCTCAGACTGGCTCCCGTACAAGCAGGGTAGCCTGGTTCTATCCCTCTCTCGCCCAAAGAACTTTGGGGACTCACTGTCCCACGTGAGCTGCCCCGCTCCTGGTCCCCTCTGAGCCTGGAGCCCAGGCGTCCTGCTCCAGCTGGAGCCTGGACACAGCCACGCCTTTGTTCCCACCTAGGTTTTATCTGTTGTTGCTGTGGGTCTGCGGATGGGGACACCCAAGAGTAATCCTGATGGCATGTACGTGGATGAATTCCAAGAAGGGCGTGACTTCCTTATTCCTGAGAGGTCCTCTAGCTGCAGAGCGAATGGACAGGGAGGAGCCCATCTAGGGGCAGGGAAACCCAGCCGGGGAGAGACGGGCCTTGGCAGCAGGGCTGGTGTGGAGGGGCAGCATCTGAGCACACAGGCGTGGCCCAGAGGCGGCCGGGCTGGGGATGCGGTCAGGGCCTCCCCAGCTGGCCCTGCTCTGGCTGGCTCTGTGCAGGGCACACGGTGGTCCGAGGGTGGCCAGCTCGGTCAGATGACGCCCGAGGCCAGGACAACGGGTGGCCTCGGGCACTTAACCGGGACTGCGCGTGCACAGGTTCGAAGGCGCCACGGCTGCTCCGAGCGCTCTTTAAAAAGAAACCTTGACAGGATTTTTATGCCGAGACCCGCTGTAATTGCAAGTTCTATTGAAGCTATTACGTGTATTTATGATAATTATGTAGTTAGATGTAATTATACTAATTGTATAAATGCGCAATAATCTACTAAGATAACTTTGAGAGAACAAAGAATCTACCCAGAAAGCCCTCCTGAAGGTTAAGAGTGTGCAAGACCCACGGGGGACAGAGGGGTGCTCGTGGGAGCCTGGCTCCCAGCCAGACCCAGAGCTCATGGTGCAGCAGGTGCTGGGAGTGCTCACCCGTTGCCATGGGAGCGAAATGCCTGTCTGTCAAGACAAAATTGGGCCTGGGGCCACCGAGGAGCCTTGGTTTCAGGTCCGCCCGGATGAGTCCCGCAGGCTTTGTGGACATGCAGGCCAACGATCATGTCCCTCTCTTGCTCAAAGCTATGCCATGGCTCCCTAGTACCCAGGAATGAAGTTCCACCATGGCAGCGGGCATCAGGGCTCCAGGGTGGGGCTCTGGTCCACTGAGCCGGGCTGCGGAACCATCCGTGCAGGGGGCACACACCGGCTGCCTCCCGCGGGCATGCGGAGCCCTCCCACCTCCATGCGGTTGCCCAGGCAGCACCCTCTCCCTGCTCGCCCTCCCTCTTGCCTCCCGCCCCTCTGTAGAGACCCTGCCCGTTCCTCCCGGCCTTGCTGGTCACGCCCCGCGTGCGCCCAGTCCTCGGGTCCTCCCCGGTGGAAGCCGGCCCTCTCCCTGCACCTCAGAGTCTGAATGGGTCACTCTCCGGTGACGCCTGGCATCTGTTAACCCAAGTCCCGAGGCCGTGCCTGTCTGCCGGCAGGTGAGTGTCCCTGGGGCCAGGACACGTCCGCCCTTGACCGCCCCCCCCACCCCCGTCAGCACAGAGCCTGGCGTGAGTCATGCTCCCGAATAACTGATCGCACTGGGATGACTTCTCACAATAAAGACATTGGTAACAAGAATCCTAAGGCGCTGTGGGAGCCCAAGGGCCTCTTCTACCCGCTGGGCGGGGTGGTCAGGGGAGGCTGCCTGGCGGAGGCAGTGTCTGAAGGCACCGTGAGATAAATGGGAGCTCGGCAGGGACAGAAAGGGGCCAGGCGGGCAAGGCACGTGGGAAAGGCCCAGGAGCGAGCAGCAGCACAAGGGCCCTTACCTGCTGTGACCCAGAGCCGCTGCCTCTCCCGCCTCCATCGGTGCAGGTGGCATTGGGAGGGGCAGTGAGAGCCCGTCCTCCTTCCTCCTTCCGCAGGGGTTGGGGGGGGGGGGGGCTATGTACAATTTCTGGAAAGTTCTATGGGCACCTTTAGGAGACATCAGCACTTCCCGCACCAGCCTTGGGCAGTGGTTGATGTCCCAGGCATTCAAGAGTCCTGTTCTGCCCGCCTTCAGGCACTCATGATTGGTCACGGGCAGAGAGACGAGCCATGATTGGTCACAGCATAGAGAAGGGCCGTGATTGGTCACAGCAGAGAGAGCCGTGATTGATCATAGGCATAGAGAAGAGCCGTGATTGGTCACAGCAGAGAGAGCCGTGATTGGTCACGGGCAGAGAGACGAGCCGTGATTGGTCACAG